AATCGAAAGTTTTGCACACCGGGGAAGCTAATTATTGTAAGATGAGAGTGCGATATCAGCGTTTTATAAAAATCTAAAGTAAATTGGAAATCAAGCTTTACACGATGAAAATATTCAATTTTATCGTAAAAGAAATAAATGATAATAAATGAAAAGCTATATTTGAATATATTTTTTTTATTCTAGATTGCTGCATCTCTCTCTCTCTCTCTCTCTCTCTCATATCAGACATTTGGCATACAAATGGGAATAAAAGTAGAAATTAAATTTAAAACGGAATATATATAAATAATAAGAAATTCGAAAATGTCTTTTGTCCAAACTTGTCCGCGCGCGCGTGCGTGCGTGCGTGCGTGCGTGCGTGCGTGCGTGCGTGCGTGCGTGCGTGCGTGCGTGTGTGTGTGTGTGTGTGTGTGTGTGTGTGTGTGTGTGATTGATTTCGTATTTTTACAATTTAAAATATTTTAAAAGTTACGAGGAAATGAAAAACGTCGCACTGAAGAAGATCTATGTAGATCGCGATTAAACGCATCCCGCAAATCGTCACGGGTTCCGAGCACGGCTCGGACATTTACATAGAAAATCGACGTTAAGTCAATTCCCAGGAATACGCGATTAGGCGCAAAAACGATCGGCGCAGCCGTCGCCCGGGAGCATTATCCCGATCTATATATGATCAAACACGTCCGCAGGGCATCGGCGTCATTTCCATAATTATCGCCTCGGCCATATTAGGAACTTTCAACGGCGCAAAATTCAAGGGGCGCGCAGGCACGCTACATTTACATTAGCAATAACAATAAGGAGGTTTTGGCCTTTTCATCATTTGACTCCCCTCCTGAAGATTTCCATCGCGTACGTCTCTTTCTATTTTCGCCCGATCCCCCCGGTCCGCGATCGATATCGTTCGATCCCGAATGAAATACCGACGACAGCGGAGATGCAGCGGAGTTCGATCGGGATCTCTCTACGAGCTACTTGTAGCCCGCGTAAGACCGAAACGCCGGCATTCGCCCGGATGCACATCCCTCTCGAATGCCCGAGACCCAGGGTATTTGCATAGCCGTGTATTCCACCTCGAAAGAGCTTCCCGCCCGACTGATCCTCGCCATCGTCCCTCCATCTCCGACCGCCGCGTCTTTTCCCCGTTCGTATTCCGCGATGATGAAATCTTCGGCGTTACGGCGCTGTAAAAGCGGAACGAAACTATCGAATTTTTTCGCGAACTTTTCGCGCACTCAGAAACCGGAAGAGAGAGCCAACCTTCGTCATCGTCGTCGTCGTCGTCGTCGTCGTCGTCGTCGTCGGTTGCAATACATATTTCTTCCTCCGTGGTGCAATCTCATATACGTCTCTCTCGCGAATTCCGCCTTCCCTCGTCGAGACGGAGATGACTTACGTCGCGTGAGATTGTTTTAAATGCGAGCACGCGGCAGATGCCGCGCGTGCGACGTATAATGCCGGAGTTACGACGTCGGCGCTTGTTCGAAATCAGTTCATGAATCTTCGTGCTCTTTCGCTTACGTGCCACCTAAGTCATCTTTTATATGCATCCTAACTTTCATCTTCCCTCCCTCCCTCCCTCCCCCGCGTCTCTCCTTTCTTATTCCATGCGACGAATATGCGCGGAATGCGACGACGCGACGCACGAGATACTTTTTTATTACGTGACATAACTTTTATTCGTCTTGCCGTTAAATTCTTTGATTAGCAAATGGATATTCGACATATAGAATTGTATGGAAAAGAGACATACGGCTGTTGAGAAGCCGTAAAAAAAGTTTCATTGAAAATGTCTCTTACATAAGTGGAACTGTATGCGACATTTTGGCGATACGAATCAGAATTGTTCGCAGTGGCATGCATGATGTTTAAAATTTATCTCTTCTTCCATTTGATCGATATCCCATCGTTGTCCTTCTTCCTCTCTTTTAAATCAATTTTTCCCTTTCTCTCTTCCGTTCGTTTCCCAATTTTATATATATTCTGCATGTTTATTATTCAAAGGACTCGCAAATATATCGCTCATCTATCAGGGATATTAATTCAAAAGTCAAACGGCGCCGGATTAAAATAGGACTGAGTCTCAGTTGAAACGTGAAAGGTTCAATAATGTCTTCCTTGTTCTTATCTCACATCTAAATGTATTATAATTCTCATTTATATTCCTTTATCCCAATGCTGATGTTACAATCGTCGTAGCTGCTACGCAGCCGAAAGCGTTGAGCTCGTATTTGAATTTTAAACAGTATTCGTCGTTCCTAGAAGATCGATTGTTATCATCCCTTGATGATCTCTCGTCCGCATTAGGATGAACATGTTTCGGAAAGAGGAACATTCCTGCCATGTTATTCATACATTCCCTATTTTATATTTTAACCCTTCCCAGTTCCGGAGATTCTTAATATGATAAAGTTCGTAATATAATTTAATCATAGCTTTATTGGGAATCATTTTTGTTCAATTAATATCACGAGATGTGTAACAATTGTACAATAATTGTACAATAAGCTTATCTTTCACGGATTACCAATAGCAAAATCAAATCGACAATTTAACGCGACATTTATTAAATTATACATGTATCGCAATTAGTTTTGATACAATCTTTTGACAATACGTTCACGATCGAAGTGAAGTGACAGGTACTATCTCTTTCACGAGTGCTGTCTAATTCGGACGTGGACACGTATGATGATCCGAAATTCCAAATTTGAAACGCATTTGCGGTTAGTCAGCCATGATGTAATTAGGATGAAGCATCATGTTCCACCACTGAGAATTATGATTTTCGATCCGGATATATATTCCTGATGAATGCGTTTATATCCCGCGAGTTAATTAACTCGCTCGACCAACTGGCTGTCTTGTAATTTTACAAAACACATGCTTTCAATTATCAAGCGGTTATATTATAATAATTTGTCGAAATCCTTTGTTGTCAATAAACCACTATCTTGATCGTTGAATTCATTCTGTTTTGTTTTCTACGTGACATATGTGCAATTTACTTATATTATGCGTCAATCTCTTCTTGTTTAATATAAATTAATATAATTAATATAATTTAATATGTAATTAGTGTAATTTAATATGTATTTTATACATAAAAAAATTTAATTCGATTAAGATCGCTCACGTCGCAAAGAAACCTCTATCTTGAAAGAGTTTCTAAAATTTTTTGTAGAAAGACGTAATATTTTATTTCATAAGAATAACATACAACATTGTAATGTGCTTTTTAATTTTCATTTTCAAGAATAATACAATTAGTATTTTACTAACGTAATATGTTATTTCATAAAAATAACGTACAACATTATGATGTGCTTTTTAACTTTAATTTTCAAGCTCGTTAATTTGCAATATATTGAATTTAAGAGGTGAATGAACGAAAGAAAGGAAAGAAAAAAGAGATAAGAAAGAGAAAGATCGAACGCAAGAAACGCGGCGATATTCCAGGAGAATGAGAGGGGGAGAGGGCTGGAGGGTTGGAATGAAACGCGCTGATGTTTCCGCAAGCACCTAACTATCGGCCATTCATTATGGTAGCCGCTTCAGTGGCTCGAACTGGCGCAATTCATACTGTGACATGATGCTTGATAACAAAGGCGACCCGGGGATCTCTCTCCTTATTAATAGATGACCGGGTCCGCCATAACTAAGGGCAAAATGGTTAAAACCACCTACTCTCACCAGTGAACGAAGATCGAGAATAACGTATGACGCACGTCCGCCGGCCCTTTAAGCCCGCACGATCCCAGAGGGAGGAAAGCGCCGGTGCAATAATTAGGAGTGCATTACACGGTGACGTGTGTGCGTTAATTCTTACCGATCCTTGAATTATCGCTCGATTAATTTTGGCGCTAACCCCTCAAATTCGCTATTTTCGTCTTTTCGATCTGCGCGTCTCTGCGCGACCCCGCTTACTCGGTAAGCGACAGAAAAAGAAAGGCACTTCCGCTTTTGCGACGGTTTTTCGCGACGTACCATGATCGATTGTGACGTATCACGTTCATCAACTGCGAAAAGAGGACGACACATATTGACTTTGCCCACTTGGAATCGCTTTTTGACATTACGCCGCGCGATCATCGCTTATCTCCTATCTCCACGATCTCTGCTCGAATATACTATTAGACTCGTATAAACCGCGCTGTGTAATTAACTAAATTAATTCTACTCTGTAATTCTAGTCTGTGATCTTGCAAAACGATAAGCGAGCTTCTTTTTTTTTTTTTTCAATTAATTAATCACCAACGTGAAACGCTTATGATAAACTATCACGATAAACTAAGCCAGGAGTCGGTACATCATAAAATAAAAGAGAAAATTTTTTTTTATTGCTTTTATTTAGTATGTCTACGAATTCGCATAAAATTGTTTATGGCCTTTAAAAGTCTTGTAGAAGGGAAAGCCGTGATACACGTGACGAGTCAGTGTGCTCGTTTATATCAACGTGAGCCATCGTGGAAAGCAGCACTTTCACAACGTCGCTCTTCACTTCACATTGTATTTTGTTTCCGTAGCAAGATTTACCATTGGACTATTACAACGCGCATTTGTCTCACGATCGATGCTGTTAAGGTCGTAAAAGCAAAGACAAGATTCAACTGTGTGTGTGTGTGTGTGTGTGTGTGTGTGTGCGCGCGCGCGCGCGCGCGCGCGCGCGTGTGTGTGTGTCGTGTGTGTGGTGTGGTGTGTGGTGTGTGTGATGTGTAGAGAGCGGTAAGAAAAAAAAAACACTCACCTATTACGTCGCCTCTTACGAAGACTGCGCTCTCCTTCGCGCACGAAGCACTAACCGAAGAAAACTGGAGAATCTCTGCTCACTGATCACTTGTCAAACACGCCGGTTCTCCCCCCACAGCACACTGTTAATCGGCTCCCTTCGCGATCGTTCCGGATCGCGAGGTCACGAGATCTATCGCTCAACGAAAGTTCTTCAGTTCAACCGAATATCCGAAATATTCAGTTGTATCGCTCGCGCGCGATATTCAGCCCGCGCGGAGAATCCGCGCGATTGATCCGGCGGCTCTCGTGCACAGATGCACAGGGATGCTGCGGTCGCCGCGCCGCGCCGCGCAGAACGAGAGCGAAAGGGGGAGAGAGAGAGAGAGAGAGAGAGAGAGAGAGAGAGAGAGAGAGAGGGAGAGAGAAACAGAGAGGATGGTCTCTCGCGCGGCAAAGGCGCGTGCGGTCCGGACACGGAACGTGAGTGCCGCTTGGTAGAAGCGACTGAACCGCCAGGCCGGCGGAGCGCGCAGGTCCTACGGAACGTCCCACGTCGAGCTCCGGCCACGGCCGGCGGACAGGTAGCTCGTCGCACTCGGCGAGGGAAAATACTGCCGCCGCGTGCGTCAACCCCCGGAACGTCGCCAAGAATCCGCCGCTTAATACCAGTTCGAGCCAGCGGCGGAGGCCACGAACAAGGGACGGAAATGCGCATATGCGAGAGTTTCGGATGGGGGAGAGTTTCGACCGGGGGATAGATGGCTAGATACGGATAGGTAGAGATATCTCGCGTGTTCTAAAAATGAAATTCCCGAGGAGAATTATTATTTAATCCCTTCGGAACGCCGAACACGGGGACATGGGGGAGGGGAGGATAATACACTTAGAGATACTCCCCCGTTCGATTGTTGTTGTATTTTGTAATCGATTTTAAATTATACGTCATGTAATAAGATTAAAATTATTCTGTTAAAAGTTGATAGCTCTTACATCGGATACAGAAATACGAAGTAGTGTGTGAGAAAGAGATCGTGCGATATATCGTTACGTAATTATAATGAATTTTAATGAATAATTGTAGCTTAATTGTGATATCTGGAAAAATTTCAATTAAGTAATTAAATTCGCAACGATAATTACGTTGGAAACGAGTAGGATTAAGCATCGCTTCGGGGTAACGATTTATGAACCAAGTACTACATTGTCACAGGATTTCCAAGAGCTATGGAATTCCGATTTAATTAATTAGTGCATGTAATAATGTGACGGATGTTATGGTTGACGAGCGATGTGATAACGAGTATCACGCGATGGGAAGAAGTTCGTTTCGCGTTTCACGAAAAATTCCTAATATCTCTATCTCTCTTTCCGGAAGTCTCGGCGTCGAAGCGCGCCGAAAGCGGTTTCTATAAAATATTACAGGTAACGCTGCCATTTTTCTGGACATGCAATTATATCCAGCACGCATTCACGGACGAAATTTTCGTGCTCTTCGTGATTATCGCGTTTCTACGAACGTTCTGGAAAAGCTCGTCGCAATTAGTCAGTTGGTCGATATCGCGACTGCCGTCCATTTGCAAAGGTATGAAAACAAATTCGCGTTGCGGCACGTTCCAAAAGAGAAAGGGAAGAAGAATAAGATAGTTATTCTCTTCAATCTATTCAGTGGTACGTGTGTATGTGTGTGCATAATATACATTGGGAATTATATACGATAGAGGTACTATTTATTCGGCGTAATATATGTATATGTTTCTATAATATAGACATTGTGCCGAGGATTCACGAAACGCGCTGCCTCGCCGCATATAAATTTCGCGTAAATGAATTAGCCGTTTTGGATCGGTTTATTCGCGTGTATCATCCTCTCCTCCCGTAAAACTGGAGGAGCTTATTACTGGCTAATACTACTTCGCTCCTTATTTATGGCCGGACAAGGGCGCGCGCCGAGCCGCGCCGCGCCACGCCACGCCACGCCGGTGTAATACGTGTGGCATGCGAATATCGAGTTGCGCGATTCACCATGCATAATATTAGCACGATATTATAGTTCCGCCGTGGATTATAGGTAGGGGCCGGGCCGAATACCTAATAAGGATTTTACGACTCTCTAGGAAATCCGTGATTAGGTTCTCAACTATGCGAGCCGAGTCGCACAACGTAACTATCACTCGCGCGCATTCGAGCATTCGTACCTCATCGACATGCCGCCGGCTCCGTGTCCGGATGGATATTGATCCGAGACACAGAGACGAAGCCTCCGACGTTATCGTTAGCGAAATATAGAGAGCGAAGCGAGATTGAAACTCCGTTATGTAGGGAAAAAAAAGTCTTGCGACCGACGTCGCGAGATTTGCTTCTAAAGAGTGACACGCGTCTCGCGGAACGTACGTCCTTTACGTACTCGCATGGGTCAAAGCACGCGTTTTTCATCTACATCTGACTGCTAAATTAAAAGTTAATCGGGTCGAAAGTAAATTTTGTTATATCGCGTCGTCGGCGCATTTCTTTTGTGGCAAGACCAGAGACTTGACGTACAAGAATGGTAGAGCCTTTACTCTCTCGCAATTTGTTCATGGCACACGCGTACCGTTTCGCATTTAGATTCCGTGCAAGAGTTCACTTTGCGGGTCTCATTTCACGTCCTTTACCCCCGCCGACGTAAAGTAAGAAGCGGAATTTATAGAATTCACGATGAAATCGTTGTTCTTCACTAGTTCTCGCGCTGCTTTCCAAGAGATAAGAACCAATAAATAAAGATATCCATTCAAGGCATTCCGATATTGATTATGCATGAATTGCGTCAATATATTTTCAACCCTCAAGATTATACACATTTTAATTATACACATAATTATTTTTATCCGCTACATATTTATCTCAATGCTTTAAATTGATTTAATTAATTTGATACATTTTTTTTTTTTCGAAATATCGCGGGCCAAAATAAACGAACGAGAAATAAAAGATTTTGTTAGGCCGTGAAACACGATATCTCAGTCTCGAACGCGTTCGATTTTATATTGTAAAAAAAAAAAAATGAAAAAAAATGTGTGGCTCATATAAAAATCTCAATATTCGTCGTGCCAACGCATAATTGGACACGGGAGATTTCGCGCGGAAATTGCTTAGAATTTGGCGGAGAATACGGCAAATGATCTTCACGGTCCGTCGGTTACGTTTGTAAGGGAGCTGTTTCACCTGCGGCTTGTTATTAGATTTTCGACAAGTTCGAATACTTATTTAATAAGATTATTCCGGTGGGCGCCGTGAGTGCCGTGAGTGCGCCGCGCTCGAGATCGTCGACACCTCGTTTCGCGGGTTAAACAGTTTCTCCGCAACAGCGGCGCCTGCGGAGCTCGCGCGTTTATCGATTCGCGTTCGCGCGTTTACGTTTTTTCGCGTATGATTTATTAATGCGCATACCACGAAGCGTGATGCTTCGTCTCAATTAGCGTCACCCATTCTCGCACTGGCGGTTTTAAAAGTGATCGAGATAGGCAGTCGGCCCGAGCGCCGAAAAATGAAACGCTCGATGTTACAGTAAAAAAAAAAAAATATTCCAGATATTTCTCTATGTATATCTAGATAATTTATAAGTCATCTGACATTCTGTTAGTATAACTTAATTATCTCATTTTTTAATAGAGATTCAAATTTTTAAGCAAAAAATAGAGAAGTGCGTGATAAAAATTTTAATACGCGCTGTGCACGTGGTAGCAGAGAAGTTCATAATAAAATTAAGATCTCTATTGCGAGAGGATGATTATTATTGCTGTATCAGAATACGCTATAACGTTGTAATGATTTTATGAACGTTATCGATTCACGACTTTTACTTTACGCGTCGCAATCAAAACGAATGACGCAATCAAAATGAATCCGTGTTCAAAAGAACTTAATCGAATATATAGCGATGGCTATCGCGAATTGCGACTGCTGTCGATATCATCTGCGTTTTGCTTTCCGATGCAATTGAAGAAACTTGTTATAAATTCTCGACGATGTTACGCCTTGCAACGATATAAATGTATAAAATAATCGGTCTCCGTCATGTTAGATTTCAATGATAAAATAATTCGTAATCGCATCGTCCATAAATCACATTTTCCATATTAAAAGTAACTTTTTCTTTGCACATATTTTCGAAATTCATTAATACCGAAGAAGGCGAGATAAGAACCAATGACAGGAGCGCACCTCTCCTGTGGTGTAAGTTCATCAATCTTACTAAATAAATTGAAGAAGCTTTAATATATTTTAATATATTAGTCTAATTTTTAATCGTTTAATTATCAAGCTAAAAAGTTTTAATTGGATTTTAAACATTAAAATAGTAGTTTATGAAAAATTTTAGGAGTTTTATCCGCATCATGGAAATGCGGTGCGTTAAGGCAAAAAGGAAAATTATCAATAATTTCACCGGAAGAACGTGCGAACGTGCATTCCTCATTCCACGGCAATTGACTGTGCGAGATGCCGCCTTTGTGATAAATGATGCAAATACCTCACTTTCGTATACTTTGTTCTACACCGAGAATGGCTTATTTATGACCGTTGCGCCGATAATTCGTCATGCTACTCGTCGTTGCACGGGCCGCGAGCGCAATTAAACGCCATTTCGCTCGTGCGATGTCTCTGCAAGCGCAGCAGTTGCACGCGCAATCATTGTTGTATCCGAAACTGCAAGCCGCGGCTCCGGAACTCCCCGAGCTTTCGAGCTTTCGAGCTCGCGACGCGGGCGTCCGCGGTACGGAACTTTCGGCACGAATTTGCCTGACAAACGTCATGTAACCCTCCCCCCTTTCCCCCTCCCCCTCCCCCGAGCGTAACGGCAGCGGCGATCGCCACTTTTCGAATTATTACGTGCCCGCTCTTCGACTCGAAATACTCGCGACACGTGCGCTCGTTACGCTCGGAACACATGTGACCTATCACCATCGAGCCGAGCGATGGCGAATATTTCGCGTACGCTGCTCCCTGGTTTCTGGGTCTGCTGTCGCCGAGGGCAAACAAATCTTCCGGGTTGTTTACCCGTAAATAACCGACATCGTCCAGCCGGCTCCAGACTTTTAACTTTTGACTTTGAGAGTGATTATTTTAATTCGTTTGGAAGGTCAAATCGATTTATCTTAAATTTTTTTTTTTTTGCAAAATATAATTTTTGGAACTTCGACGTACGGGGGATATCTCGGAAAATCGATACGCGAAACGCCGCGGTATCGGAAGATACGCTACTCTAAGCAGATGTTCAATTTTGCTGTCGCCTGGAATTTGCGCAAACACGCCGCGTAACCGCGTTAACCTCATAATCTATCGTGGCGTTATTCTATCTGTAAAAGGCGGACGCGCTCCAATTATTTATTTAATGGATAAAAATCATAATAATTGACG